AAAGTACCAACTTTCCTCATTTTAGCAAATAATGTTTCAAAAAAAATTTCCTGGGGCAGCCCCCGTGAGCCCCCACCTCTTCAACTCCGGGACCCCCCTAATTTGAAGGGCTGGCTCCGCCCCAACCTCTAAGCATATATAACTGTAACTCATATAATCAATAATATTTTATAACCAATCCAAATATCTGAAAAACAACAGTCCGTCGAAGAATGAGAGTCTGCTAAGAAAATATTATTAATTTTAAAAAAAATATAGACTACTTTGAAGATAATGAATTGAAGATGACTAAGCAAGTAGAAAAAATAAAATAAAAACTGAAAGGTCACTAACAAACAAAAGAGAAGAGAAAAGGAAGAAAAATAAAATAAAAAGTCACGAGTGTATTTAAAAAATTACGCTTTGAAAAATATAATTTTTTTTTTTTGGGAATCTTTTTAATTTATATGTATATATAATTGATAACCTTACAAAAGTTGGGCCATAGGTGATCGCATATCCCACTTATGCTCACTGTCGGCACTAGTGATAGGCATTTTAATATAAATCGTGTATAAGCAGTTTTACATACGAGTAATGCTATTCATCCCCACTGAGGTTGAGCCACAGTCTATGTGACAATTATATGACTTTAAATGATAGATTCATTTAAATACAAAGTCACATAACTCATTTAATTGAGTCTATCATTTAATATCATGTAATTGTCACATAGATTGGGACTCAACCCCGATGGGAATGAATAACATTATTCTTTACATACCAATTACAGAGGAGAATATTCTATTTATAGGGTTAGAAATAATACTAAAAGGAAAGATTGATTGATAATCAACTATTTAAAAAAATAAAGAGTGTGTTAATTATTTTATAATATAATTGATACTTTAGAATTGCATTTGCATCGAGTGCCAACTAATCCAATCAAGAACTAGAAGCAAGTATGAAAGAAACCCGTATCCAACATGACAATCACCAATACCTGAAAAAGCTACCCACAAGTATAAAGAACAAGGCCAAAACAAGAATCTAAAACAATTTTAATATCTAGACTTGTTAATGATAGATCATGTTTAACAGTGGCACTCTCAAAATCCATGGTTGTATTACTACTCCACTGAAAGATGAGGAGACAAAGACTAATCAAACAGGAAACCAATCCAAAAACAACCAAGGAAAGAATCAAATTTTGGATCGAGCCTATCGAAAGATGATTCAAGCTCAATCAACCAAATTAAAGTAACCGGTTGTCAAAAATGAAAAAAAGTGTAAAATGTCCGAAGGCTTGAATGAATTTCCAGCAGTACCAAATTGATTAAGACAAATAGAGAAGTTTAGCAACATGAACAACCAACGTCCAACAGGATTTGGATTAACTTGAAACCCAAATTTAGATTATATCAAGAACAAAAGAAGACTTGATTAGACAAGATATGTAAAAGAAAGAAAAAGAATTTGGTTTGACATAGATTCTACACAAAACAAGAAAATTTGGCTGGACGAGCGATACAAGGCTGCTCACGAGAGATTGGAAGCTTGTAGGTTTATCCCAAAATCAAATTAAGCTGTTAGAATTTGAGTGTTACCCGAATTCTTTGTTGAAGTAATTGAAAAATTCTAATTGAAGTGCACGTCTAGAAGAATCCAACTTGGAATGCTGTTGGACTCCTATGTCAAGTTAAATTTCTATTTTGAAAGCCCATGGGAGTTGGAATTTGTTTTTTACTCAATTTTTTGGTATCCTACTTCATCAACAACTCTATTAAGAGGGTTTGTACATCCCTTACACGATCTCTATAAATATTATGCTCTTTTATACAATTTTATGATATGAGAAAATAGATTGTTAGAATTAT